TTACCGAATGACTCTCAGTGAAAGGTTTTTGTTCCAGCATTGGTAGCAACCTGACTTACCGAATGACTCTCAGTGAAAGGTTCTTGTTCCAGCATTGGTAGCAACCTGACTTACCGAATGACTCTCAGTGAAAGGTTCTTGTTCCAGCATTGGTAGCAACCTGACTTACCGAATGGCCCTCAGTGAAAGGTTTTTGTTCCAGCATTGGTAGAAACCTGACTTACCGAATGACACTCGGTGAATGGTTCTTGTTCCAGCATATGACATGTTGTGTATGCATTTTTAGCTCTAGCTAAGTATTCTGGATCATCTTCATTGGGGGTCATATCGGTGCCACGCAGCTGGCATGGTTGGAGTAGAGTTTCTCTGTCTGCACATTGAGCTGTGTGAGCAATAAATAAACACGCTGACTCAACTTGACCTACAACACTGGAGACCATTTATCGCAAAGTTTATGGTAGAGATAATGGTAATAGTGACTAAGGCGTATGCCTTGAAATTATACGTTTTTGCGCATGTGCATAGGAAATTCTAAGAAATAAGCATTTATAAGCACCAGATACGTAAAAGTGAGAATGTATGCGCCCAATTGAATGACAGCTTGTCACTACATAAACCTTATCAAGATTTATGTGGTATCACGGTAAAAACCTGCGCTACGAGTACTTACCTTGTGATAGCTCTGGGTCAGTGGTTTTCCACGCCTCTGCGAACTCATTCACGTTGAATGTCTGTTGACCGGCAGGTAAAGTGAGGTCATCGTTAGGGTTATGATTCCACACACCACAGAGACCACACGTGTTCTCGTATTCCGACAAAGTCTCATCTGTAAGTTTAACTTCAACTCCTTCCCCGCCGTCCCAAGTCAAGATAAATCCCAAGCCACTCTCTACAATAATATAATGTGCAACTGTCTCTATCAGGTATCCATATTCCTCTGTTGGTATGTTCAACTTGGTGTTGCCAATGAAAGCACTTGGCACATCGTCTTCTAGACGAAGGGTCAGTCGATTGGTAAGTGTCTGTATGATGACGACACGTTCGCAACTCATCATGTTATTCGCAGTACAGGATGCATCATTCTGAATAAATATCTGGAAAGTACCGGAGACACAGTCTCCTACCAATGTGTACGTACAACCCCCATCATAAGTGTATACTTTGCCGTCAAATGTCCTGTAATGTGTTTGCCCCCATGTAACGCAGTGACCACTTACACCAATAGCTATAAATAAAATATATACAATTTAGTACAATACTAATCGGATACCTAATTAATACGACCGGTTTGCAACAATTGTTAGAACCAGCGGATTGGTGTATGGACGTGACGATGGTTCAGCTGAAATTTTAGTTTCAATGTTCAAAAAATCAAACCTACCCACTCAACGGGGAAGTCTTGGGGTATAATAACACCCTTAAACTCTGTAACATTTCAGACCTATTGCTGTCTATCACATCGGTATACAAGAGACAGACAGAAAATATTTTATACAGGAAACGTGAACAGTATCCAACAGCCGCGCATGCGCTTTGGATTACTAATGTGTACGATAAAAATTGCTTAGTTCACATTTTTTTGATATTTTAACTGGGCATAAATGATAACCAATCATGTATATGCGGATTATCTATTATAATAATCTTTCAATTTAAATGCTAAAATACAAAATACTATTCAAGTATACTCACAGGGCGGTGGTTCCATTCTTGGAATAATATGAGCTCCACGTTTGTCTACGGAGTTAATTTGGAAACAAAAATGTGAATTATTATTATTATTATTATTATTATTATTATTATTATTATTATTATTATTATTATTATTATTATTATTATTATTATTATTATTATTACATACTCACAGTGTATTTTATTACAATAGTATTTGCATATATCTGACATACACAACTTACCGTGATCGAGCACGCGCAGTGCGTCTAGTTCCTCAACACTGTAGAATAAATAAAACCTTTCGTTAGGATAATTCTAATATAGTGAAACAGTGGAACACTCATATACCGTCCGCAGATATACCGTCTTCCAATTTTGAAATGTTCAAATTATTAACAGTTAAAAGTATAGTTGCTGGTACCAGGCAATCGTAACCAGCCTGAGGACAAAAGTAATAAAATAACGTAATCTACGCAGGTGCATGTCACAACGGAATAGTTTATTGCTCGCGTTTCCTTTCATTTTCAAAATTGTAAATTTCAGGTGTCGGGGGAAAAAGTGAATTCAAACATTTACAAATACAGTATTGCATTGAACGTTGTTTTTGTAGTTTTATGCCAAGGATAAGCACCTATGTGAACTATTTTGTGTTTGTTTGGTGCACTTCTGCAGTTTCAATTGGCGTATTCCCTTATGTTAGCAGCGATCTGATATCTTCTCTGTTTTTGTCCCCATCAAGTGCAAGAGACTAAATATTGGACAAGTTTATATCGAATGTTCTATCTCAATATTATGATAAAATAAGAATCTATCGCGGCATTCGACAGAGGACACGCGAGAGACTAAATATTGGGCATGTTTATATCAGACGTTCTATCTCAATATTATGATAAAATAAGAATCTATCGCGGCATTCGACAGAGGACACGCGAGAGACTAAATATTGGGCATGTTTATATCAGACTTTCTATCTCACTATTTGAATAAAATAAAAATCTCTCGTAGTATTTCACTCAAGTCACGCGAGAGACAAAATATTAGACAAGTCTATATCAGACCTTTCAACTCATCATTGGAATAAAATAACAATCTCTCACGGTATTCGACACAAGTCACGCGAGAAACTCTTTCAACTTTTCGAAACCTTTCTTTGCAGAATTTTGCAAATGAATGTTGTTGTTTTTTTTAATTTTTATTTGACAATGTTTGACACAATTTCCCGTTATCATCACAATTTATGCACAAGTACAAGTACACCACAAGTGATGATGTTGGTTTATTTTGGGTAAGATCAAAGAGGTCAAAGAACACATATATAGTAAAATGTACTTACTTGTTATCTATCTTAATGGTCGCTTCAACATACAATACACATATCAGTAATATCACCGTGTAAGGTCTTATATGGTACACTGCCATCGTCCTACCAGCTTCTTTTTAACCTTTTACTTGTTGCACTCCCAGCCAATATTTACCTGACAAATAACAAAAAAGTAACATATAAAATAAACCAGGGTCCGGATGTTTGAATAATTAAAGCTAATTTACAGAACACTCGAGAATTCATTACATTATTCAAATGTAATTACACAACTGTACAAGGTAGTTGAGGAATGTCATTATGAATACCATACTTTATTTGAGAACGGAGAATACGTTTGGCGTTCCGTATTTTTTTGCGTGTTCTGACTCTGAAAGCTGATGTCTGTCGAAGGGGGTTAACATCCCATTCCGTCAGACAAACAAACAATGGTCATTCATTCATTCATTCATTCATTCATTTATTCATTCATTTAATGTAATTTGGTTTATTATCATTCACAAATAGCACTCACCGATAAATAGTAATTGTGGCCGGGCAGTTTATACATCCTTACATTAAAGGGCCGATGGTCGTCGCGCCGCGTTGTGTTTAATACGGACTCACCCGTGTAGTGGAGTGCCTTCGTGTTGTCGCCTCGGGTGCCACGGGACGCTTCGAGCCTGTCCATTTTTCGTTCGACTGCTATGTGACTTCACTACTGGGGCGACTCGAGACAGTTTTAAGGAAAAAGATATCGAACTACAAAATCGATACTAGGTAAAAAGATGTTTTCTCAAACATAAAATGCAAATGGGTGTGTTTTTTTAATAAATTGTATACGTTCTACACGAGTTTCGCTTGCAAAGCAGCGGACCAATACAATCATGTAACACTACTACTTTCCTGGGTGTCACGGGTCACTAGTGCCACCAATCTCTCAGACAGAATTCTGTTTCTACAAATGTATACTTTCGGTGTTCTGGCCGCTATGATCTCTGGGAAGAAAAATGTACTGCCACGTTACTCAGGGCACCCTGAGGTGGCAACGCGAACGCAGTCATGTGAAATTGAATGTCTGCGCGACGACGACCGCCACACTTTAAGTACTTTACCGGGCGGATATTTTTTGCGTTCGTACTAATTGATCATACTCGTATTGGTTGCCTGCCTATCAGCTTCACGATATAGACAATGGGAGTAATACTTGAATCTGATCAAAGCCACTAAGAGCGCGTGTCTTAGAACGTGATTTGTCATACAATAACACGCACCATGTAAAACAGTTTCAATGGAATAACGCTTCAAATTTGCCTTTCCATGTCTCTTCCTACCCGCACTAGTAACATTGTTTCTGGAACATAAGAAATGTTTACACTTGAGCAAATATACATTTCGTAATGGCATATTTTGTTCGTATCCCCGCCCGGGCATCCCCTGCTAATTTATCGTAGGTATTTGTGTAAAAAAAACACATTATAATGAGATACAAATCTACCATGTCAATAAGAACTGAGTTTTAAAACAAAGATATTGTACTAATTGTTCGAGACGTTCAAACCAATATACGACGGGTATTTAACTGAAGTATGCAGTCTTCAACCTATGTCTGACATCTTACACCATGGTGTACTGTACTATCCCTGGGTCTGATGTCTTTACATCCGTCCTACATCAAAGTCTGACAACTTATACGAAAATATGCCGTCCTAAACCGAGTTCTGACAACTTACGCCAAGATATACTGTCCTACACCGAAATTTGACGTCTTACGCCAAGATATACTGTCCTAAACCGAGTTCTGACAATTTACGCCAAGATATACTGTCCTACGCCGAAATTTGACGTCTTACGCCAAGATATACTGTCCTACACCGAAGTCTGACAACTTACACCAAGATATACTGTCCTACACCGAAGTCTGACAACTTACACCAAGATATACTGTCCTACGCCGAGGTCTGACAACTTACGCCAAGATACACTGTCCTACGCCGAGGTCTGACAACTTACACAAAATATACCGCCCTACACCATGTTCTGACAACTTTCTAAAAGATATACTGTCCTACACCAAAGTCTGAGAACTTACAAGATATACCGTCCTACATCAAAGCCCGACAACTTACACCAAAGTATGCCGTCCTACACCGAGGTCTGACAACTTACGCCAAGATATACTGTCCTACACCGAAATTTGACGTCTTACGCCAAGATATACTGTCCTACACCGAGGTCTGACAACTTACACCAAGATATACTGTCCTACGCCGAGGTCTGACAACTTACACCAAGATATACTGTCCTACGCCGAGGTCTCACAACTTACACCAAGATATACTATCCTAAACAGAGGTCTGACGTCCCATACCAAGGTATAACGTCCTACACCAAAGTTTAAAAAATTACACCAATATATACCATTCTACAATGAGGTCTAACGTCTTACACCAAAGAATACCGCCCTACAATGAGATCTGACGTCTTACATCGAGCCTTTTATTTTTACGTTGTTTAATTCTAACACATGATTACTATTTTCAAAACGATGAGCACATTTAACGGATTCTTTTGAAAATTGCTCTTGAAACATGTACCTAAACAAAGTTATGAAGTGTTTATATTTGTGTCAACTATTTTCACTCTGCTAGTGGAAAGAGAATCACATGAAGAAGCCTTCAAGTTACCCATTCATTCAATTTACATCACTCGTACAGAACGTTGTTGCCATTATTTGGGTCTGGTTTACCATGAGGCTCTATGCTATTGACCATGACAGGCAGCCACAGATACATCAATGCTGTAAATATATACTTACTTCGTGATGATGGATCCTTTTAGAAGTAAATGTGTTAATAAAGCTGGTGAAGACGTGAACGCCGTGGTCGTGGTAGCAGGTGTGTTGATTTTAACGTAGTTGGAAAGAACTTTATATGCGTCAACACAGGATAAAAACTACCAGCATACTTGTGTCAAATGACAACACTCTGTTACCAGGGTCTGTACCATCCGGTGTTCGTACACTGTAACTTTGACTATTGTTTGTATTACTTCCAGTTATACTTACTTATAGGGTGCGTTTTCTATTTGCTCTATATACACAATATGGTACATTTGATAGTTTTTAAATTATTTCATTCAGACTGCCCCAAACACGCAAATAGTTGTAAAATGTTAGACTGCCTGAGAATGTAAAATGTAATGTTTCAGATTTATGATTGCAATTTTCTACTTTCGACGTTTTACGTGTTCTTCGAACTACCAATTAATGTGGTAAACATTAATATACTAGACACATAATATATAAACCTTGATGATAAGTGGAGGAAGGTGTCGTCAGAGGGGAAATTTGTCAGATCATTTTTTTCTGGCCACATTAGAGGTGCAGATTAAAAAGCCATTGGTTTAATGGCAACGTATACGTATATATGGCAATACAACAGTAACATAGCCCGGATATCCATGAACGAATTATCTTTAGAAACCTTTTAGATCGTTTACCATGTAGTATAGCTGAGAGTGTAAAGAGGAAGGGTTCCGAACTACCAGCTTCAAATATACATGCCCAATTCCCAACTCCCTGCGCCAATTCTATCTCTTGGCGCTAAACTGAATTTTTATCTGAAACACGTCTTATTTAATGGTAATGAATGCCCGAATAACACAACGCTTATTCGTGTGACTTATAACATTATTTTACCGCGAATATTAATATTAAACAGGGAACATATCTCAGCTTGTGTACAATACATTGTAAAACAATTGAGAACGTATTTAACACATATTGTATATAAGCAGGGGCGGATCTAGGATTCTGGAATAGGAGGGGGCGATAAGTTGACCGAAGGCCTAGTTCGCGAGCGCCGATGGCGCGAAACCCCTGTGGGGGGGGGGGGGGGTTAAAAATAGGGGGCCGCGGCCCCCTCGGCCCCCTCTAAATCCGCCCCTGATAATCACAATTGTACTTA